CTCCTGCAGCAGGTACCACAATGCAAGCTTGCTGCCCACCATGCTTTTGCATCAAAGTCGTTCTTCTTCTGGGTTGCTCCTAATCCATGACTGACTGTGATGGAGTATTTGTGCAGACCAATCCTGTGGGTCTCTGCACTTCTCTAAGGGGCAGCTTTGGCTCAAGAACTCTGCCCCTGGTAGGAGACATCGTTTCAATGATGTAATCTTGGCAAACTTTGGGATTCCAGGCCATTCTTGGCCACACCCTCAGGATTCACTGATTTGAAGCTACCAATAGAGGACACTTAAATGTATTCCATCAGCAGGTCTACTCGCCATGCTTCCAGAAGGATCATATCAATTACACAGCCTGCAAGAAAACAAGAAGTATATTCCAGACAAAAAAAAAATGACAGACATTTGATTAGTAAATTCAGGAATATTTAAGTCTTACCTAAGGGAGGAGCAGAGGACCAAAGTCCTAGAACCTAATTTTTACGAACTGTGCCTTTAAACTTCTTACATCCATTTCATGTTTCTCATTAGCCATGGCTTCGTATGTGTATGTTTTTTTGCTCCACATGAGCAGTGAAATCCATTCCATATTTTTACCTCAACCCATCATGCTGGCTGCCTTTCTGAGCAGCAGGGGCAACCCCTAATCTCCATGGTCCCTGAAATTTTATCCTTCTCCCTGCTTCCAGCCTTAAAGCATAAGCATACTCCTGCATTTTCCTGGGCTCTGCAGAGGCAGACCTCCTAACCCATCAGGAACAGCCCTTCTGCCCAGGGTCCATCTCTTGGGGGATGCACTTATTTGGAAAAGTTGGGGTCCGGAAGCTCCACACTGGTCCTCCCACCAGCTCATCTCCTGGGCTCCCTGATTCCAGGGCTGCCCCACCTTCCTAAGAGAGCTGACACCAGGGCTGGTGCTGTCCAGTCCCAGTCCCACCCTACAACTTGACAGGACCTCCTGAGAATCTCCAGAGAGCGGCTCCTTCCCCTGGGAAGCCCAACTGGACAAGGCCATTCCCAAAAACACTCAGTGTGAGACAAAGTGAAGTGTGACCTCCATGCAGCTACCATTCAGGGGCCCAGGACACATACCACCAATGCCACAGGGCATAAATGTTCGGGAGGCGGCTACAGGCAGAGAAGGAAAGTGCACATGACTCCCTCTCCCCACCTCACTCCCATCCCAGCTCTCAGCCTTCATTGTCCCAGTGAGAGGTGAGCCTAGGCTGGGCAGAAGGCTGAACACACCCCAGAAAGTTTAGAGGGGGACCCTAAACTACAACGTTTTACATATGGGGAGTGGGGCACAGCTAGACCACCATTTAGCAGGTGCCTCTGGAGCTGAATATCTGGAGAATGCCTGTCCTCTCTCCCAGCAAACTCAGACCTGCTGAGGCAGCCAGCTACCAAGCCAGAGGATGAGGGAGAAAACAAGACACCAGGGCCCAGTCAATTTGTCTTTCATCAGCCAAACAGGGAAGGAGTGTATCTCTCACCCTCTAAAGAGTAACTGCATCAAAGCAGGGAGAGCACTGCGTTCTTCTTGATCCCTTACGTCCTGAGCCCAGCCCCTCACATGTGAACAGGTGAATGAATGTCTGAGGGATTTACCAGAATAGCCGATGGGAACCCTGAAGCTGATGAAGCTACGGTGTAAACTCCTAGAGGTAGGAGATTGTACCCTAAGAACTACTCACCATAGACCAAGGTGCCGCTGAGTTCTAAAAAGAACATGTAAGTACATTTATTCTCAGGCATTATCTATCTGTGTTCCTGAAAGAATAGACAAAACTTTTTTTAAATGCCACTTATGAACTCTTCTTTCAGAACCTTGTGCTTTCTGATCTACCATAGGACCAGTGATGGCAAATAAATACTATCTGGGGGAAATCCTTCTATGCCCTTCAGGGACTAGCTTCCAAAACAATAAGCAGGTGTGGAGGGACTTTTCCTCCCGTGCAGGTGCACAGGCTCTGGAGCCCTTGCCCTCAGCCTTAGCCCAGGAGAGCCGAATAGCCAAGTCCCAGCTCCCTTTTCCAGCCAATATTGAGAGTGTATGGGGCTGGGGAAGGGTGTGAATGGTAACAGAAGGCATAGTCCAGGAAAAGGCTCTCCTGGGTCCTGTTTACCTGCATTGCTCCTCCAACCTCCTCTATCTGCTTTATCATACGTTGGGGAGAAAAATGGAGTATGGGTTGAGACCACTTCCCTAGGGAGGCATGGCCCCAGAAGGGGCCGGCACCTTGATGACACTCAAGAAGAGCTAGGGAGGATGGCAGGAGCTCTGAGCCCAGCCACCTGGGAGAAGCAAGTCCTCTTCCTGAGCACCCTTCGGGCCTTCTGGAGTAAAAAGTAACCATTTAAAGAAGACATAAAAACACATATTTAGGTGCACATGTTTTTCTTTTGGCCTTAGGAAATTTGGCTTGCATAGCTCTGTGTGATCCTGTTTTACCTAAGATTTTGGTATTTTGCTCATCATGGATTTTTTTCCACGTTAATTTTGATTGCATTAAAATATTATTTATCTTGATTACTGAGGGATTTTTGGCACCCCCTTAGATTATGTGCCCCGGATAAGTGCCTCTCTCACCTCACCTTAATCTTGGCCATGACAATAGGATAAATTCATAGTTTTGGTCTTCTCATTAGGTCACAGCTGGACCAAGTCCAAAGGAAAGGAAAATGCGATTAAGATAGCAGAAGCAAATGCAGTGTACTTGAAAGTCCTACCAGCTTTTGGATTTAAAACAATTGTAAAGTAGCCCTTCTGAAGGAGAGTAGAGACAAATGTGAATTAGTATCAAATGCTCATATAAGCGTTTACCTATATAAAGAGAGATGACTGTTCTGTCTTCATCCATTCAACCTGAATTTAAACTTCCTACTTGTTGGACGCCATGTAGGCCTTGGGGTTACAAAGATGAAAAAAACTGAGTTTACAGTCTGGTGAGACAAACAGGGAACGACTGGCCTGAATTCAATTCAATAGAGGCTCTAAGTATGTTCATAAATAGTTTGGAAGTACAGAGTTGTAAGCAGAGTTTTGTTTTTTGTTTTTGTTGTATTTTTTTGCTGGGATTTGTGCTGTGGGACTGTAATTTATGGAGGTGACTGAGTGATGACCTGGCAAGGGCAATGCCACTGAAAGGTTATTATTACTTACAGTTCCCTAGAGAAGGGGACACACCATGCCATGCAAGGCCACAATGGAAGCATCAGGTTTTGGTCAGGAGGCAGACGCAGGTGCAAGGGGAAGGTTTAGGCTGGAGCCTTTATTAGGGTTTCCACTGGGAAGGCAGGGCAGACAAGAATAAACAGTTTAGGATAGACTAGTTTGAACAATATATGATGGCTTGGGCTATAAGGGTGGTCTCTAGTTGCCAGTTACCTGGCCCTGGGATGATTTAGGGCAGGGAAAATACTTGCTTGGTGTGTGAAAATTAGATAAAGGGTGTGGTTAACTTGTATGAGAGAGACATGCTCCTAACTAAGTGGTTTACTATGTTTAGGAATTGGCTAGCACTGGGAGGGCAGTCTCTCCCCAGCCAAATTTTTATGTCAAAGCGGCATAAGATACAGAAAAGTTAAAAACATGATTAATACAGCATGTATGTGTGTGTGGGGGGGGTATAAATAGACAAAACCACAGATATAGAACATGAATATAAAGGTGAATTGCAGAAATGGAGTGTTTTTGTGTGTGTTGGGGGTGGGGGTTGGGTAGAAGGGATCATTCCACTTTTCCAAATAGTTGGGAGGAAACTTTCTCCAGGATATAGGAAAATTTTGAAAACTTATTGATGAATGCACATATAGGCTTGGGAAATTAACATTTATTGAATACCTAGCCAGGAGCTTTACACAAACACTTATTACCAACCCTAAAACACTTTAGGGGAGGGATGGTTTCTGAAAAGGAATCAACAGACTCATAGAATTAGGGCGTAGTTAACTAGTCCACCATCTCACTTCGAATAAAGTAAATGACAGACATGTAAAGTCCAGATCTGACTAGACCCCACCCAAAAGTCCTTACACCATACTGCCTTTGGAAAAGCAACCAGAAGAAGAGATAAGATACTTGTGTATTCCATAGCTCGATATTCAGGACACCTCTCCCATTCCTATTTTAATACCACTTTGTCAAAGCTAAAGAGCAGCCATCATAAACGTTCAAGTATGTCCACTGGGGATCTGTTTGTCCCTTCACACCCGGGGTATTTGACCCTCCGAGATCAAACCTTGGACACACACACACACACACACAATTTGTTTACTTTACACTTTGCATTGCCCTAATAGACTGAAAACTAACCATGACAGCCAAATTGAGGGGGGCTGACCCTTAGATTCAGTCCCTGGGCACCTTTCACTTGGGACGGGTGGGTAAAATTATGCTCTCAGTTTTGGTAGATTATTTCCCGGGTTTGGCAGATTGAGCCTTCCGCCGATGCGTCTGGTTGATTCCCAGCTCTGCCCCACCGAGTGGACAAAGCTCGGTGCTGCCCTGCTGTGTACAAGGCACTAGAGGGGCGAGGGAGGCTGAAGCGGAGGGATGAGGGGTTTTCTAGGATAGATTAGGGGCCAAGAACGGAGGGGACTTACTATGAGATTTAGGGCTGGGCTTCAGGGATACCGGGTGTAAAATTTGGCAAGAGGGGCTAGAAGGGCTCAGGCATAAGATCTGGGAACAGAGCCTGAAAGGGGTCCGGGCTGGATAAGTTTAGGGATTGAGAGGGAGGCGCGAGCTCGAGAGATCTGAAGGGGAGCATGTGAGCGGCGGGCAGAGTTCCAGCACCTTGGCGGAGTGGAAAGACGACTCAAACGGCCCCAACCACGCCAGCGCTGCGCTCGCGGCCGGCGGGCGGAGCCTCCCCGGGAGCCGCCCCTTGGCCCGCCTGTGGGCGGAGCTTCCCCAAAGCTTGCATAACATCCTAGGGGGAGCGGCCCGGGCAGCGGCGGCGGCGGGCGGGGATTGGGCGGGGCGGGGCGGGGCTGGCCGGGCCCGGGGCGGGACCAGGCCTGCGCCGGGCCAGGGAAGATGGCGGCCATGGAGACGGATTTGGCCCCGCTGACCCTAGAATCGCTGCCCACCGATCCCCTGCTCCTCATCTTATCATTCTTGGATTACCGGGACCTAATCAAGTAATAGGACGACGCGCATGGCAGGGGTGGGGGTCGCAAGGTGGAGGGAGGCAGTGCGGCAGTAGGGTCAGAGGCCCGGCTCGCAGACAGGACCCGGAGTCCCCCGTCAGCCAGAAGGTGACGCCAGGGCCGTCCTGATCCTGCAGAGCCACCCGGGGGCCGGGGCGACCTGCGGG